CGAAATAAGAACAATGAAAGCAATTCAGCACTCTGACAAAATGAGATGCATACGCTACGCGGAGATTAGCAAGACTGTGTAGATTTGTAGAAATTCGATATGGACGTCGTAAGAATTCCACGCTGGAGTTCCAACCTGGAATTCCAGCGTGTCGGACGTAATAAGAGGGCTAGCGCCCTCTGTCCCTAACATCTACCTAGATATGGTATATTTACGACGTGCCAGGCATTGCTCGGAGAAATAACAGAATCACTTGTAAACGTCAAATCCTATTCAGGACACGGGCTTGCGTGCTTTAAGATCAAAGAGGGATCCCAGTGATCATGGGATCCCTTCTCACAACGCTGCTTTTAATGACGCACAAACCCGGAAAATCGTCGGATCACTTCTCTGTCTCTCTGCCTGTCTGTCTGTCACACTGACTCATCAACCTGATCGCGAACATTCTCAATATTTTACGATAACAACCGAGTCTTGATATATTTTTCGTTTTCCCTTTTTCCTCGAACCAGGCCTTCAGATCGTGTTGAATTCCATTCTGAAAGCCATGGTGCCTTTGCTACACATCGCCCTCCTGGTGCTGTTCGTGATCATCATTTATGCCATCATTGGCTTGGAGCTTTTCTCTGGGAATCTTCACCAAACGTGCTTCAACAACAGCACGGGTAAGTTGCTCTTCATCATCTGCCCCGTCGATCCCGGGATCAATTGAGAGAAATAAATCTGTCTCGGCGAGGCCGTAAACCAGTCGTGAATGGAGAATCTGTCGCATTAACTCTCGTTTAGACATGAATAAGTAGGGGGGTTAAATGCAGAACGATGGAAGAAATCGCTGGTTGATGCACAAAAAAGTGGTTCCGCTGGAAAATCAGTCTACAAGTGTAGTTTCTCCTCAAAAATGAGATCTCTTCTTCATGGTGGGACGCTTTTTTTTTCTTTCAAGATGGGACCCTCGCGACGAAATTATCTACGAGATCGCATTATTAACCAAAGTTCTCCAGTTCATCCGCTAAAAGTTCTTCGCAAAAAGCCGCATTTAATTACACTTCCAGCTGAAAAACGATGCTGGACTGTGATTTGTGGAAGAAATGGAAGTTGTCTGATGATGAGTCGTCTATTCTTCAAGTGCGGACCAGACTCTCCAATTTAAAAAAAAAACGTAAATTAATGCAGGAATGTCATTATTGCAACAGTAATGAACGTTAAAAATTTTCCAAAATATTTATTTATTAATGATTTATGCTCGTTAACAAAATTAACTTCGCTTCAAAAAAGCTAGCGAAAACCTGCTTTAAAAAGGCATCATTTGCTACCAGCTAGAATTTGAAGTTGTATTCAGACCGAAAATAAGTCAGAAGATTTTATAATCAGTTAAAATTCACAAGCTTCTCAAGCTCGATGCATGATTGAAACATTTGCATTGACCGTGATTGGTATGTCATTTCATTGTCAGCGAGCCTAAACTGTTTTCACAAAGTTAGACAATCATATGAAATTTTCTTGTGAAAGTTTGAAATTCGTTTCGTGAGTCGCAATCTTTTTTCCTGCGATCACCGGTAATTTTTTCAGTAGATCAGTCGCTAACTGGGCCAGTCATTAGGTAATTTTTAGCCAACGATTTCGTCAGTCTGTCGCCGCCACTTGGGGTTAAACATCCTCTTCGCTGGGCGCCTTTTGTTCGTGTGGCTTGAAGTTGAAGCGTAGGGGTTTTCTTATTATTATTATTTTTTGTTATGCAGGGGAAATGATGGATACGCCGAACCCGTGCGGCATGAAGGGTTATGACTGCAGCGAAATGAACACCAACACCAGCGAGGAAGTCTGGGTCTGTCGCGAGTACTGGGACGGCCCGAATTTCGGCATCACGAATTTCGACAACTTCGGCCTCGCCATGCTCACTGTCTTCCAGTGCATCACTATGGAGGGCTGGACCGACGTTCTCTACTACGTAAGTCTCATTCCTTCCTTCCTTCTTCTTCTTCTTCCTATTCTTCTCCTTCTGTTCCCCTCGATTCTTCGAGTCCCTATCCATCCCTGTTGAACCGCGCCGTCTTATTTCTCCATTGTCATCCGCTCATCTTTTTGCACATGGGTGCCACTCAGTCGATTCCTCCCACTGCCTTTTTTTTTTTACCGCATTTCCCCGCGTTTTCATTCATTCTCTATCAACAGCTCGAGGAAAATTTTCTGGGGCGCGCAAAAAATCCTGTGTCAAAAAGAAGAGTCCTTGTTTTTGTTTTTATTTGTTGTTGGTCGTTGAATATAAATGTTTCCTTTTCAGGACTGCGAATAGCAACGCAATTTGAACGTTCTTTGTATGCGAATTGCTATGACAGTTTAAAACTGCTAAAATGAAATCAGCAATAATATTTGGAAACGAGAGGAAATATTTTTTTTTGGAGTCTCAAGCATGATAAAACTTTATTTTTATGACCAAGGTGCTACAAATAGCGGTCGGGGGAATATTTTGTAAAAGAAACTCGAACGCTTTCAAAAACGTGCACATTTCATAGGGATGTCAAAAAGTATTGCTTCAAGTTTTTTTTAAGCACACATTTCTGAAACCAAAATTAGATTCCGGAACAAATAGGATTTAAATGCCGCCAACGGCATATTTATTAATTTATGGATTTATTTTTAGAGCGGAAAATGGATGACTCTGCTGCTGACGAACGGGGGTTTTTATTTTGAAATTAATTAAATTGTCAAGAATCTTTGGAAATGAAAAGAACAATTCAACTAGTGCTGTATTATGAATGCATAAAAAAAACATGCAGGAAAATTGGTGCTGAAGGAAATATCTTCGTTGGAGGTGGTGCCTATAGGATTTGAGATCTAGTTCTTCAAGTCTTTTGCGAAAATTAGACGTATTTCGGCTGGAAATTTACTAAGTAAAAACGGGGGAAGAAAAACTTTTGGTTATGCCAAAAGTTCTCATAAAAAACACGTTAGCGGGACATTGGCTTGTCGCAATAGGTTTTCGCAAAGAAAAAAGCGCTTTTTTTTTTATCCCGATCTTCTGCGTGTTCGTCGGCCATTCTATACGCTATATAGGAAGCTAGCATTTTTTCGGGCTAGAATCGGAATCGTTATTCAACCCGGACATACTGTGGAAATCGACACAAAATCCGGTTTTTTATGGTTTTCGGTTTCATTCCTGGGCCTGTTTTTGTTGTGGTTTTTCTAGTTTTAATTTTCTCATTTCGATACATATACGAAGCGGCCACAACTGGGTTTCCTTGAATCGTGCGATTGTTGATATCGACGCATTAGTTTAGGAAAATCTAGTACTGTACAGTATTTTTTTACCACTAGATTTTGATTCCGATCAAATATGAAAGTAAGGACATCCGATGAAGAATTATCAATTACGGAATTACTGATTCAAACATTATCATCGTGAATTCAAACTTTAAAAATCTGAATTTTACAAAATAAAGCGTTTATCAGCTCATAAGAAAGAAGAATCCAACATGTATAAACTGTAGGTCAGTTTAAATTATTAATATGGTTCCGGAAATTTGAAGCACTGTTTTCGGAAAATGAAATTACTGCACTCTTTCATTCCCAGAATTTGTACAACAAAAATTCGTATTTGTCTGATAAATATCTCAGTCTCGTCTGAGATAGCAACAGCAATAAAAGCAGATATTAGCTTCAAATATTTCAATGTGGCTTAATTTTAATTCCGACTGATCGTTTTTTTTTTCGGTGGAAGCACCGATTTTTAATGTTTATTGTAAATGCATTTGAACCTTCAAAAATTATTTCAATCGCGTTTAGAGAGCTATCAACAATGGCACGGTGATGAAATGTTGGGAAATGTATTACCGGTTTTGTGCAATGAAGAAAACAGCTTAAATTCTCACATCATCAAAATGTTGAGCCACGTTTACGAGTTTCGTTATTAGCGTAAATTTATCGTCAGTAACAACAATTATTCGATGGATTGCGTTCAAGTGCGAATTACAACATTTTTCCAGAGAATCCTTTCCGTAAATTGCCACTGAACTGCGAATTTAAAAAAATTATATTTCACTGATAGCGTATACAGTATTGGATTACGTAATATTTCACGTAATTGTAAAATATCATGAATCCAATATCCGTAAAATATCATGAATCCTTGTATTTAAAAAATAAAAAAATAAACTTTTGAAGAAAGCAGCGGGACTCAGAGGCACTTTTCCGGCCCATCTTCAGCGGGTTCCGTTCCCCATGTCCTCAAGAAATGTGCGAACCCAAGTCATAACGCTACTGGAGATGGGAAATGGGGATCGGGTTCTCACATGAAGGCGTTGAGTGCCTTCAGGGGCATCAGCTGCACTGACGATCCCAGGGCCTCCAATCTTTTATTTATTTACAGAAATAAACTCAATTCAGAACCCATGGACTGCGTCCAGTTACAGTTACTATACCATAATTTTTCTTCTTCTTGAACAGCATGAAAATTGCCGTAATTTTATAATTGAGATGTTATTTCTGAGGCTAGAATTCAGCCGAACTTGGGCATCCAATTTCGCGTGATTCACAGTACTGCTGCGTTTAAAGGTCTGAGAAGTAAGAAATATCTCACTCTTCAGTACTACAATATAAGCTCTTATATATATCTTTTTTTTTTAGAAAGGATAAAGGTCTATAAAGTAGAAAATGCTGCAAGAATATTTTTTTTTAATTTAACTTGAACGTTTATTGATTTTGTTAGAGGAGATATTTGTTTTTCTGTTATCTCCAAGACAAAATGAATGGAAACATAATTTGAGTGAATTAAACAGTGGATTACGAGGAAGATTATTCGTAGCTATCATTTAGTTTAGTGAAATAAAAGCTTGTTGATCACATGTACATTTCAGGGAAGGGATGAAGACATGTTTTATGCAAGTGCGACTTATTACCGTGATTTATTCCATTTTTAGTAGAATATATATAGTTTAACACAATAAAAGCTCGTTGATCTCACGGGGTTTTTCAGGGAAGGGATCATGGATTATTTTCTTATTTGTAAGTGTAACTGATTGCTGTGATTCGTACGATTTTGCTTTTATTTTTAGCGCATTGAAACCTTGAGGCCTTGCAGAAATGAATTTGTAAGAATTCTGCAGTGAAGCAAACGGATTCCTGAATTTCTTCGGCACCGGATAGATGTCGCTCAAACGCTCGAATTGGCCTCGGTTTTAATGGAATTGTTTAGCCTATGTTCAGTTAATTTCGTCGATTTGGGAAATTTTATTCAGGTTCGTTATTCCGGCCAATAAGGCGATACCTGCTGAGAATCCTTCGAAATCTATTATTGTATACGTTGAAGTGGCGGGAGTCAAGTTATGTCGCGGGCCATTTTAGGTCAAGAAACATTTATCGTGTCCAAGTTGACAATAAGTTTCAGTCTGGTAAATCGGGATGCATTGAAGCAGTTCTGGTGCTTGATGAAGTAAGATGATGAGGCTATCCCGAAAAGCTTTAGTCCTTTTCTCATTCATCCCATCAGCACTTGAATAGGCCAACGCGTGAAAATCGCGGGGAAACATCTGGAAGAAGAGTGGCCAACGTCATCTTCCTCAGTCTGCTTCATTATGTAAAGACCCTGGGACAATGAAGACTGGCTAAGACATGTGTTTTCTGAAAGCAATGAGATCTCTTCTGGAAAAGGAAATAAGAAAGGAGGAATGCGATCTTATGGTCTCGCACTTCCGCCCCGGAAATGCGATGACGAGCTTCCCACATCTGAGAGTCCGAATCTCTTGAGGATGAAAGATCGCTCTTCGCATCTTCCGTTGTTCTTCGTGGTCAAATAATAATAATAATAATACACATTATACAACGTTCAAGCGGTCAGGAACTTCCAAGTTAACTCCTCGGTACTTGAAAGTCCGCGGACAACTGCAACAAAAAAAAAGTTTAACTAATCAAGACAAAAAACTTTCTTGCACATGTACTACTGATATTAAAGTAATAAAATGATGTTTCGAAAACATAAAATAGATACTTTCGTTTCAGAAAAAAAGCATCGGCCAGTTCTGTCTGTTTTTGAGGATTGATGGCTTTTCGCACAGTAAATTTTGTACAGCTCCTGGTTTTCTGAAACATGACGCGTTTTTTTAAAATAAATCATTAAAACGAAGTTGAGAGTTTTGTTTTGCTGATACTTTTTGTTGGCAATCCAAGATATTACTAATATTCAGCGATGGTGATCTTGGACGTACTTTTAAAAAATTGTAATTTTTCAGTTGAGACAATAATGGGCTGAAATCAAACTTGAAGCTGTTTTTTTGCCGATTCAAGTTTAGTTTGAATAATGTCGAAGTTTTCGTAGGTGTTATGTCTTTATCCGGTACATAAAGTGCATTTTTCTTGAGTCAAACTAGTTTTCGAGATCTCGAGAGAATAATGACGCAACCGCTCAGATTGCTTTCTCGAAAAACGATTTGTCATTCGGAACTTATGCACTGATAATTTTCGGTGAATTATCAGTAAAAAAAATAAAACAAGGAAAGGAACTCGTTATTCAGTGCATCATTTCCAAGAAAAATGTGGGTTTTCGATGCTATAAGCTAAAGACCATTATCAAGAAATGATTGAGGAGTGTATATAACTGTAAGCTACCGTAAGCAAGCACATTTTCTATACATACGAGAGGCATACAAACTTATGATCCCATGACGTTGATTGAAGGAATAAAACTAAGCGAAGTTATAGAGGTAATATCCCCGGAAGAAAGATGGCACGGATAGAAGTCGTCACTGCATCCTCTTCATTATCCTTTCTAATATATTTATTTTATCCTGTTTACTTATATTAAATCGCCTGAATAACACATACACACACAGAATATTGCGCATATTCTGTCAAGGCAGCTGAAACTCTGAGACATACACCCGGGAATCGCGTCAATAATTGAATCTGAATAATTGCGTCAGTCGGCTGGCTGGTGATGAGAGGCGATCCGCTCCA